TATATTTATTTATATAAAAATATTAAAGAGACGAAACTTTTGACGAAATTACAATTTTTCAAAAAAGAGTTTAGTCAGGTATCATTAGTACAGATGCAGTGTTCCTATTCTATGGAAACGCGTTAAGTTAAAGAGGAGTAATACACAAAAAATTTTTATGAAAATAATACGTGAGAAGCAGAAGCCAGTTTATTACTTGAATGTAACTCATCCCCCCTTTGAAGTTATCGCTTCTGCAAAAATAGCCTAGCTTCTTTTTTCAAATCTAGTGAGAAAAGAAATATAGTTCATTTAAATTTACATTATAGTGTGAGATTTACTGATAAAACAATAAACCGAATAGCAGAATCATATCCCAATCTGAAGTATCTCAACTTAGAAGGATATGATAATGATAGATTAATAACTAATAAAGGTCTATATGCAATCACAAATTCATGTCATAAATTAGAACATCTAAATATTTCTAGTTGCAAAGAATTTTCTGAAATAGTGATTTGGAATGTTATTCATTCTTGTCCAAGAATCCAAGAGTTCATTATTTACGAATGTAAAGTATCCAATACAACCATCAAGAAAATTAAATTATATCTTAAAATAAAATATATTAATCCAGATACCACTATTTGATATTTGAAAAAAATTGGCCAGAGTCGAACATGTTTTTCTAGATCTTCTTCTGGAGGTTTCAATTTATTTGAAATTTCAAATGCTGCATTAGACATCAGAATCTGCTATAGATAACATTTCGATCAGCATAGACTAAATAGGCAAATCACTTGATTTAGATATGGGTACTGACCGATTAATTTATTTTTTTTGATTAAAGATACAGAGTATATTATTTATGACACATTCAAGCATTTTTATTATACCAGAACTAGTAGAGCAGATTCTATATTTCCTAGCAGTAGATAAGACACTATATTCTGCTTTATTTGTATCCTGATTGTGGTACAAATGTAATGCTCCTATTCTATAAAAGTTTATTGAGCTAAAGGGAAAAGACCTATATCCTGGGCAATTTCTTTCAAATGATTATAATTACTGTGTAAAAGATTGCTTTCGATTTAATAAATTCATAAGAATAGAATGTACAAAGAATCTCTCTCAATTGAAAAATTCATAAAACTAGTATGTAGGAAGCAAACGCCAGTTTATTGCTCATCTCGAAATATCATACTACCATTCACTTTTAGATAAAAAAATTATAAGCATTGTACATTCATATCCAAATATAATCTATTTGAGTTTCATAAATAGCATAGGATTTAGTAATAGAGCATTAAAACTGATAGCGGGTTCATATCTGAATCTAAAGTATCTCAATCTGTGCAATGATCAGTCAGGTAGCTTTAGGAGCTTTCGTACTCGAGAAGTAGATAATAAAGGTTTATGGTGAATTGCACAGTCATATCATGAATTGAAATATCTAATATTTCTTATCGCATAGTATTTTCTGAAATATCAATTTGCAATATTATTCATTCTTGCCTAAGGCTCTAACAACTTAATTTTAGCTATTGTGAAATTACTAATAGAACTATCGAAGAAATTGCTAGATCATGTCTTAATTTAAAATATCTTAATTTGAGAGGGTATTATATAATTAACAAAAAAGCTATGGATCAGCTCATTTCACTTAATCCAAATATCCATATCAAGAATTATGTGGAAACTTTAATGTCCTCTGATCTCATTGGAGTGGTTATAAATCATCTTACACAGAACAACATTGTAGAGTCAACATTTTCATTAATTAAGGCGCAGCAATACAAAAGGAAATGATCAACATTACACAGTAAAAATTAC